ATACTCTCGTTACGCAAGCTGTATAGATATAATGCTGTATGATTTATGTGTGTATATACGTATAGTCATACACGCGTATATACATGCACGTGTGCGCACAGAGATACGAGAGAGAGAGTCACATTGATTTTGCCGACGACTGATACAACCCCGTCGGCACGTTTAATTAGAACATGGCGACTTTAATACAAGCGCACGACAACAAGAACAACAACAGCGCCCCTTCCCCCACCCCATTCCCCTTCCGCGCGCACCCCCATGGTGCTTCTTCGTCTTCTTCAGCCAGTACTACTTCTCGTCATCCTCTCTTTACTGGATCCGTGGTCTTTCCGTTTCCAACCTTTACCGGCACATGGTGTTCTTCCTCCTCTCGCAGCCGCGTGTCGCTTCCGACCGACGAAACATTCGCCTCCTACGCCTCCTTCCCGTAGCTCTCGAAGGGGTCGCTTATCTACCTAGCCTAACGCGGTCTATGCTAGTGCCAAACACCCCTCGCTCACCCTCTCCCACTCTTTCTCTTTCTCTCTCTCTCATCCATCATTGTCATCGTCGTCATCGTCATCGTTATTATTATCATCCCGTGTTCCAGTTCACGAATCACGCCCACTCTCCTCTTCACACTCACGCCACTCACTCGTACGCGATTTTCGTTTTCTCATACATATATGCATACACGTGCTTACGTACAGAGGTACACACGACAGACTCGTGTACACGCATACTGAAATACATACAATACATTCTCGCGCTAAGACTATGTTCTCTACACGCCTATACGCTACACATGAAAACACCCTATCTACATTAGAAGCCTGTCGACGTTCCACGGTGCCAGCTTTCTTCTTCGTTATATTCTTCTCTGTTGCTTCTTCTCTCTCTTTTTTTTGTCTCGTATTCTCTTGTTCGTTTCACTGGAAAAAAAAAAGATGAAGAACATCTCGGAAAGGGACAAGCATTGTTTCAACCGTCCCGAAGAACGAATCGTTGTGGTCGACCCCGCGGAACGTTCGACCGACATTGGTTACGGCTAATCGTTTTGAGTAATTCTAGGGATGCTTACGTCTTACGAATGGTATGATACAGTATACGACTTAAGGAATTACTCGCTTCTTCTTCGACAGACAGAGGTACACCTTTTTCCACAGCGGTGTAGGTCGCCGCCAGATCTTGTTTATCGTGGATTTTTCTTTTATTCTATTCTCTCTTTTGTTTCATCAACGCCTGTGGTGTCCACGGTTTTTTGTTTTGTGTTTTTTTTTCTTTTTCTTTTTTTGTTGGAGACCTACCCCTACGTTTGTACATAGATAGAGTGACCACATCTCTCGACTGATCGGTGAGAATCGACGGTGAACGCGGCTCAGGATTTCGTACGTTCGCTTTGATATGACTCGACGTTGTACTTTATCAATCCTTGGTATAATTGCGACTCGAGCTTCTGGTTTGATCAATGGATGCGTTACGTTGACCCAAGATTTATAGCCTGATTTTAACACGCTGACTGTCGCATCAAATTTTATCACTTCTTCACTGGACAGAGTACGAAATGCAACTTCTCATTCTAGTAGAATAATTGTGATAGTCGAATTTCAATTGTCGATTATCTCTATATTCCATTATTTCTTTCCGTAGATAGTATATTTTCTCACTCTCAAAAAATCATTTTGAAAAGATCCAAAAATATAATATAACGATGAATGAAAAGAAGTTTACTGAAAGGGCATTGCAGTAATGAAAATGACAGTGAAGAAGTAGAAAATGTGTTTAGTATAACTGCACAAAAATCATGCCCTAGTTCCCATAACACAGTATAGCAGTCAACGTGTTAATTGCAGTGTTGTGTAGATGGTATTATTTGAGCATTTTTAAAATTTCATTTCATGTTTGTACTAGAAGAAGAACAAGTTCTATTAATCCTATAGTCACTTCTGAGGTTAATATTAACCGTGTACCGTATTAAAAGTTAATAACTCAGTTAAATTAGCAAAAAGAATCTTCAGATGAGTTTCATTGCTTTCGAATAGTCTGGAGGAGAAAGCTTCCACTTGCTCGACATATTTCTTCTCTTCAGAAGTCATTTCAGGATCCATGAAACTTGCTACTTCGACATCCTGTTCCCGGGTCAACGACGGATGACGCTTCACGGTGGCAAGATTGAGCTCATGATCCACGTATATACGTATAAATTTCGTTGGTCGGCCACGTTTAAGTCTCTTTGTTTGTCGTAGCACTGAAACACGGCGGCGTACAGTTCGTTGTGAAATGTATTCGCGAAGGGGAAAAAAGTGTGTGTGCTTGGTCGCTGAATGAACGCGGCGTGTAATATACCTTGAACAAGTTCCAACGACTCGAGCAGCGTTACGACTCGCTGAAGGATTCTTTCTTTTCTTTTTTCTTTTTTTTTGTTTCTTTTCGGTACGACGACACATGCGGTTCACTCTATCTACATCTTCGTTATGTAACAAATAAGTTAAAAGAGTTTATAATACACGCATTGCTCTTGGCCCGAATCGAACATGTACACGTTCTCCATCGTTCATTATTCAGGTGGAAAACTGAAGTTCATCCCGATGCAATTATCAGCGAACGTACACGCGTGGTCTCTCTGTTCATTGACGATTTATCGAACCGTCACGAAATTGCCCCCGTCTCGTGCCTCCGGAGATATTCCTCGTTAAAATGCGCATGTTCGATTCCATCCAGTTGGAAATACCAACGTTTCTCAGCGGAAGTACGCCGGTTTTGTTATTCGCGTACAAGGCGACGTCCTTTCGGCACAGGATAACTCTCGACACTCGCTTTATCGCAGTGTTTTTGCTCGATAATTATTTCCAACGAATCGAAGAATCTTCTAGAATTAAAATTTCAACCGTAGAAAAAATTTTGGAATAATTTTCATGTGGTACCTACTTCGAATATTCTGAAATTTCTGTAGATTTCATTTACTTCTGCAATTCAGTATCTATTGACTATTGAATATCTCATTGTTTAAACAACTGAAAGCTAAAATATGAATTTCTTGTTTGTTGTAAGTTTAATTTTTATTGTGTTGGTATCTCTCATGGCGTCGAGATAAAACGAGCGACGAGAATCGTCTCGGGAACGTACCCTGTACTTACGTAATCCATTATATTGTATGTACAACGTTCTTACAATAATTCGAGCGCACCGTCGGCCGTGAACGAGGGAGCTTTTGGAACAGTGAGTGGTCGCGTGTGATCTTCGTTTTGCGTCAGTGACACACATTAGTCGCTGTTTACTGCCAAGAAACCGGATCGAATGATCGTGACAGAAAGAGCGATACCGTTGATTAGCTGGATCGTTTAATCTGTCCATCTGTGTCTTGCAACTCGATAAAACGCAAACTTTATGACTCGACCTGGTATCTAGAATAGATACGAAACTGTGAGACAAGTATTTTAAGCTTCGTTGAAACCACAGTATTACTGTTGCTTCACGCGACACTACAATTCTATCTTTTCATAGAAATATCGAAACAAAAGTTATCGATTCGATGCAATTTTAAGTGAATTCTCTTTTACCAGGTCTCCGTGAAACAAAACGTTTCAACCTTACGGAAATAGTATCACTGAACACTAGCAATGTCCAATGGTCATGCTAGGAAGACAGCTGTTACAATAAATACTATTTCATATCTTCTCGATACGACAACGACTTTAGAACGATTCTCACTTGTGTACACTGTAAAGTGTATCACATTACCTAACCACACTATTGCCAATCTTAAACTAAAAAACTCAAAATAGCTGAAATCGACGTTCACTTTTAAAAGATTAATATGTTCCTCGGTATCTGACATACTTCGTACAACAATACTATCATCGATCATAATTCCGTCAAATATGTAAAGAATCACAATGAAGCAAGTAGCAGATAAACGACACAAATCAACGATCCAGTTGCGCAACCAATCGCACAGATGGTGCTGTTCGCAGGATACACTGGCCGACGGTACACGGTAGACCGTGATGGCGGCGGTCACTTAAATTCCCTCGAGTAGAAACTTTTTTTTTAACGTGGCGTACCCAGGGCGCCCCAGTGCTCGGCGGTGGGTCATGCGTAATGCGGATAGGTGCCCAGATGAGGCGGCACATGACCAGAGGCCGTGTGGTGTCCCGCGTACAGGTTAGCACCCGGACTCGTGGACCAGTAGCTGGAGGCTGATTGAAACAGGCCCCCAGGAACAGAAACCGACACGGAGGCGGCCGGTGGTGGCATGAGGTTCAGTTTTGCGTGTCCGTAACCGGACATAAACAGCTCGCTTTGGTATTTGTAGGCAGCTGGATCCGCGGCCGCGGGTTGCGTTGCCGCTGCCAGGCCCTGGAAGTCGAACTTGTACGCGTACCTCTTCCCGTGGACCTTTGTCATGATGTTCTTGTCGTAGTAGTACCTGTAAGCAGAGTGGGACGCTTCGATGGACGGTGTGACGAAGTGAACATTATTGTTCTTCGAAGAAAGTTCGTGAAATGGTGTTAGTCTTTTAGAATATTGGAAGAATGAGGTTAGAGTGCCATTGACACGAGTGGTTGATTTTTTAAAGTAACGACTGTACCGTTTGACGATAAATCGATCACGAATATACATCGATACATCGCCACTTAATGCTTCATTTTACGATTTCGCGATATATCAGTTTCGTCAACTGTACGAAGATTGTAAACAACCTCGAACAACTTCTGTCATATTCCAGGTTCTATCGACAGTCTACCAATCTCCTCCACGCAAAACTATCGAATCCCCGGCGAAACTAAAGCCTCGAATCACAGATGAACAAGAAAATCCGGAAGTGGAGTCATAATCGGAGTTCTTCGTCGTCACAACGCGGTTCTTGTTCGAGTCTGCGGTACCGCGTAAACCGCTATAAACCGGCGATTTACGAAGTTGAGCTGGGAGTCGTAAAAATCCGGTGGAGTCTTATTTAATAAATTCTATTTGCCAGTGCCGATAACGACGCTGCTTCCGCGACGACGGAAACGTCTTTTGCTTTTTCTGTTTTTCTTTTTTTTTTGTTTGTCGTCGAGTTACGGTCGCGCGCAGCCTGAAACTTGTCACTGCACGAGAGAGTGGTGACGTTGGCGATGGTGATGGTGGTGGTGGTGGTGGTGGTGGTGATGGTGAAGAGAAATAGAAGAAACGAGAGAGAGAGAGAGTGGAGCAGTCTCGTGTAATATAATCAGTCGATCTGATCGAAAAATAATAGCCGCGTCTGCCGACGGTCTGACTGTCAGTGATTGAAATTTCTCTCCCTCCCTGCCCCCCCCCTCCCCTTCCTTCACTCTATACCACACCGTCACAGTCCTTTCGTTCAACGAATTTACTTTCTCTTCGAATCTTCCGTGCGGACGTCTACCCGTTAAATATTGACGTTTCGCCCCCCTTTTTTTTATTTCGCACGAACACTATGCGACGCGGTTTAGTCGCGCGATTTAACGGCCATGAGTGGCTCGATTTTATTGAGGTTATAGCAAGGTGAACCGTTGTCGTCACAGCGTATTGTTGATCATTTGTAACGTTATACAGGGTGTTTCATAAATTCAGTGTTGATTATTTTAAAAATAATCGGAAATATTGTTTATCTTCGAAAATTGAATCGTCGCAAGAAAAATACAAGATGGCGGCAATAGTTTCGTCGCCGGCGGAGATGTAGAGGAGATTTTGAGGTTAATTTTGTTTTTTCTTTTTTTTAATTGAATGTCCAATTGTTTATGGACTAATTCGATAGAAAACTTGAGGTAGACAGAGTTTGTGGAACACCTTGTACGTAGAATTTTCAGCAATACGCTTTAAAATTGCGAATAGGAAAATTTGAAACAGGATTATATAATTTAATTCGACAATTTTCTTTATGATTCTTTCTGTCTAAAATATTTGTTCGACAGACAATAGTAAATGAGAGGAGGATGATGTTTCTGCGGCGTATCACTGAGGTGTACCAAGGATTTAAAGGTGTCACTCACCTCAAAGCCCTCGACAATTTGTCATAATTCATGTTAGGCTTGGACTTCCTCTCGCCCCAGCGTCTCGCCACCTCGTCCGGGTCAGTCAACTTAAATTCACCGTTGGTTCCTTCCCACGTAATGCACGCGGCGTTGCTCGAGTCCGACAGTAGCTCGAGTAGAAATTGCCAGAGTTGAATCTGACCGGAACCGGAGCTTGCGAGCCGACTGCTCGTCGCTCCGAACATTTGGTAGGGATCTAGAAATCGTCAAATCACACAATGTCCATCTGGATCAAGTTGTACGCTCTCTTTTATCCTAATCAAACTTCGTCTTTCAACACACTTTTAACCCTTTTAATTTTTAATTAACCTGTATACAAAAAAGAAATTTCTTTAACTTTCTTCAATATTTCGACTTCTGATTAGGTTAGTCCTTCGTACTCAGGCTGCGATTTCTTTCAATCGACCCGTTTGTACGTAGCCGCGTTAATTTCTTCCCGCGTGAAATATTTTGCAAAAAGAAAAAAAAGAAAAAAACGAAGGGAGGAAAATTTCGTCTCGACAAGTCGACAAATGTCTGATTTCTGCACTCTCGAGTCGAATGTAATAGTTTTTTTCTCGTATTTCCCCTGAACATATACCTATCCATTACACGGTTGTTTCCCAGTGCTCCCCGTATCGCCCTTTAAAAGCCTTACAATGCGTCATCACCGTCGTTCGCTACTGCTCAGACCTGGAGTGCCCTACAACCGTACAAAAGGATATAATCGCAACCCTACAATAGAATAGAGTTCGTTTGGATCATAATAATTTCAATTGAAGGAACGAAACGACGGAGTGGTTCAAAGGGCGTACGGCGAATGTCTTCTGAGAGAGCGAACACTGTTAAACTGAGCATCGCCTGTTCTCTTAGCTGAGCGTGTGCTAAATGATCAAAATATGGACAGATGCCGAGGAACAGTTTCTCTCTCGTACAAACATTGTACCTACAGTTTTTCATTTTTAA